AAAGACGTCGACACATTCCACCTATTCGTCGACTATAAAGCCGCATTCGACAGCCCTATCCGTTCAGAGGTGTATAAAGTCATGTCTGCGTTTGGCATTCCTGCAAAATTAATTCGGCTATGCAGATTAACATCCTGCTGGAAAAGGTCATACGAGAGGCAAAAGTGAACAGAAATGGCACTCTGTACACCAAACAACACATATTACTCGCCTACGTCGATGACATCGACATAATGGGTCGAACATTGAGAGCGGTACCAGCCACCTTTGAACAAATTGAGAAGTAGTCTGCTAAAGTGGGTCTGGCAGTAAACGGCGAGAAGACTAAGCTGATGGTATCAACGCCCAAGACGTCCAGTAGACTCGGACCAACTGTGGAACTTGAAAACTACAGCTTCGAGGTAGTCAAAGATTTTATATACCTTGGTACCGCCATAAATAAAACGAATGACATCAGTTTTGAAATTCGGAGGAGGATAGTGAGGGCCAAACGATGCTACTGCTACTACTGAGCAAACAACTCAAAAGCAAGGCCACATCCCGCCAGATAAAACCCAAGCTCTACAAGACTCTGATATTACCCGTGCTGTTATACGGGTCTGAAGCATGGGTACTTACGCAAGCAGATGAGACAGCTCTTGAAGTGTTCGAGAGAAAAATTCTCCGAAAGATCTATGGGCCGATCTGCGTTGACGGTGAATATCGCCGTCAAATGAACCATGAGTTGTACCCAGTGCTGCCAGTTAAATTTCATGAAAAATCGTCAATTTTTTAGAAAAAAATCGGAATAATCGGCATTTGTATTTTTAAAAATCGGCAGCATATAATTTATAAATAAATTCATATTTTTTTTGGTTTATAACAAATCAATATTGTTTATTACATTAAAAAAAGGTAACAAATTCTATTCTGTATAAAAAATAACATAAAAGATTCATTTTTCTACAAAAAATGTAGATTTTTCTAAAATATAGTAATTATTATGTACACTAGTGAGATCTTTCAGATTTACGTATAACACAGTGTGGTATTAAGGTCATAAAATAACTTACAAACTAGTACATATTTTTATTACACATTTTTAGTAATTCATTATCAATTTTTATATTAAAACAATTTGAATTATTTAGTTTGAGGTAATCTTTAGAATAAAAATCCCTTCCAATGAATCATTCTCAAGTGAGCTTCTAATTTTAGTTTTGTTAAGGTTTACCTGACTAAAAATTCGTTCCACATTTGCTGTGGAGTGTGGAAGAACCATAATTCGTTGTACAAATTTAGACAAAACAGGAAAAGCTAAATTTGAGTCCCCACGTTTAATTTCGGAAATTTTTTTTCCAAAAATTTTTTAAATTATATTCTGCATTTTCAAAAATTTCTTCAAAATTCAGAAAGTTTAACTCCCTAAACTCGGAGTCTAAAGATTGTCTCTCATTTTCAAAAATAAAATCGGTGAATTCTTTTAAAATATCTAGAAAAGAATTATTGCCCTTCTTCATTACTCTTCCAGGATCAATAAGTTTTAAGCATTTGTATTAATTTAAATTAAAATCAAAACGTTTTAATATTTAGTTTGCAAGTTTTATATGAAAATTAATGCAAGTGCTAACTATTTTGTCTATGTCATTTTTGGGAAGTTTTGTTTCTGAAACAATATCTTTTGCATATAAACCCAAATATACTTCATCATATTCTAAATAATTGTTCGTGTCCATGATGTAAAATGTAAACTAGATAGAACTAGACAGAGTACAATGCTGACAAAAAATGCAGATATCTAAGCCATTGAAAACGGCTGCGGCGAGTCGCCGATAGTTCTGATTTAAGGGAACCCCCCCCATTCTCGATTTTTTATTTTTAAGATTTTAAATGGGCTGGTAAATGAATACCAATGCTTGTTAAGGTTTGTAACTTGGCACATATATATTTGAAGATTTAAAAAGGAAGAAAAATAATTTACCAAAATTTGTTGTTGTTGTTTTGTTGTTGTTTTTTGGGTTCAAAGAAAAGTCCATATTTTCGATGGCGGGCATGATAACTCCTCACTGGAACATCGGAATCCGAAAATTCCAACTGTGTTAGAAAGAGGACATGTCTGGCTCTCGTATGAACTAGGATTATTGACTTCGCACAACAATTAACAAAATGGCGGAAGTTTAAAAATTTTTTTATGGAAAATCGCCTATTTTTTACCACAAACTAAGTTAAAAAATAAGGAAGATCTTCACCGATTGGCTTTATCCTAGTTCATATGAGAGCTACACACTCCCAGAGAAACGTGTCAAAATTTGAAACCGATTGGTTTATTAGTTTTTGAGTTATCGTGCCCGCCATTCGTTTTGAGAAAAACGCGTTTAAAGTTTGAGAAGCCCTTTAGCCGTCACTTGATGCTGACTCAATAAATCGGCTATATCTTCAAGAGTTCTTAAGATTTTCACTTGAAATTTTGTAGGAACATTCTAGAATTAGAGTAGATTCGAATTAAATCAAAAAATTTTTTGACACCGAGAATGGAGGGGGTCCCCTTAAAGCTGCCAATTTTATATGTTTGTATGGTAACGCCGTATTAAATTAAAAAATTTGACAATTTGTGTCGATTGTTGAAATATCGGCAATTCTGAGGCAAAAATCGGAAAATCGGCATTTTTCATTTTTAGAGTGAAAAATCGTCAAAATGCCGATAAATCGGCAAATATGGCAGCCCTGGTTGTACCAGCTATTTTCGGACATCGACATTGTTAGACGTATTGAGTTGCAGCGACTACGCTGGCTAGGTCATGTTGTGAGAATGGATAAAGATGCCTGGGCTTCTTAGAGGCGTGATTTTTTTATAGAAATATTGTTTCTGGGTTTATTAGAGGGTGGCTTTTTAGCGAATTTATTTTATGTCTAGTTTAGAGATTTGGTTTTTAAAAGAATTAGTATTTCTGCATTTTTTAGAGAGGTGGCTTCTTAATGCATTTTTTGAGGTAATATTAAAGGCGTTGACATTTTATAGAGATTATTTTTGATGCACCCTTTTAGGCGCGGATTTTTTTTGTAGAATTTGCTTTTGAGGCATTCCTAAATGATAGATTTTTTGGTGAATTTTTAATTTTTGATGCATACTTGAAGGCGTGGATTTTTAAATATTACTTTTTGAGGCATACTTGAAGGCGTGGATTTTTAAATATTACTTTTTGAGGCATACTTGAAGGCGTGGATTTTTAAATATTACTTTTTAAGGCATGGGTTTTTAAATATTACTTTTTAAGGCATGGGTTTTTAAATATTACTTTTTAAGGCATGGGTTTTTAAATATTACTTTTTGAGGCATACTTGAAGGCGTGGATTTTTAAATATTACTTTTTGAGGCATACTTGAAGGCGTGGATTTTTAAATATTACTTTTTGAGGCATACTTGAAGGCGTGGATTTTTAAATATTACTTTTTAAGGCATGGGTTTTTAAATATTACTTTTTAAGGCGTGGATTTTTAAATATTACTTTTTAAGGCATGGGTTTTTAAATATTACTTTTTAAGGCATGGGTTTTTAAATATTACTTTTTAAGGCATGGATTTTTAAATATTACTTTTTGGGGCATACTTGAAGGCGTGGATTTTTAAATATTACTTTTTTAGGCATACTTGAAGGCGTGGATTTTTAAATATTACTTTTTGAGGCATACTTGAAGGCGTGGATTTTTAAATATTACTTTTTGAGGCATACTTGAAGGCGTGGATTTTTAAATATTACTTTTTGAGGCATACTTGAAGGCGTGGATTTTTAAATATTACTTTTTGAGGCATACTTGAAGGCGTGGATTTTTAAATATTACTTTTTGAGGCATACTTGAAGGCGTGGATTTTTAAATATTACTTTTTGAGGCATACTTGAAGGCGTGGATTTTTAAATATTACTTTTTGAGGCATATTTGAAGGCGTGGATTTTTAAATATTACTTTTTGAGGCATACTTGAAGGCGTGGATTTTTAAATATTACTTTTTGAGGCATACTTGAAGGCGTGGATTTTTAAATATTACTTTTTGAGGCATACTTGAAGGCGTGGATTTTTAAATATTACTTTTTGAGGCATACTTGAAGGCGTGGATTTTTAAATATTACTTTTTGAGGCATACTTGAAGGCGTGGATTTTTAAATATTACTTTTTGAGGCATACTTGAAGGCGTGGATTTTTAAATATTACTTTTTGAGGCATACTTGAAGGCGTGGATTTTTAAATATTACTTTTTGAGGCATACTTGAAGGCGTGGATTTTTAAATATTACTTTTTGAGGCATACTTGAAGGCGTGGATTTTTAAATATTACTTTTTGAGGCATACTTGAAGGCGTGGATTTTTAAATATTACTTTTTGAGGCATACTTGAAGGCGTGGATTTTTAAATATTACTTTTTGAGGCATACTTGAAGGCGTGGATTTTTAAATATTACTTTTTGAGGCATATTTGAAGGCGTGGATTTTTAAATATTACTTTTTGAGGCATATTTGAAGGCGTGGATTTTTAAATATTACTTTTTAAGGCATGGGTTTTAAGAATTACTTCTTGAGGCATGGGGTTTTAAGAATTATTTTTTAGGCCTGGATTATTGAATATTTTTGAGGTATCATTTTAGATTAGGATTATTGAATATTTTTGAGGCATACTTTAATGATTTGAATTTCTTTCTATCCTTTATGATGCAGTTTTCAACAACAGTGAGAAGATTTTTTAAGGACCATTTTTAGCAAAACATTTTATCGAATACGCTGTCATATTCTTGTTTACATTGGGCATATCATTCCAAATTTTTAAGTTAATAACGAACTCCTTAGCGTATAATTAAATGTAATTATATAGAGTATTGGTCATAACCTTGTTTCCTTTACTGTTATTCGGTATACTAAACTCATCATGATTTCAAGTTATAAAATTCATAATAGTTCACCCTAGTTCATATATTTCATATACAATATTTTGAATTATACAAATATTTTAACAGCTTTCTTTCATCACTTACCTGCGTCTCGGTGACATTTAACAGCTTCGCCATTTCTGTTCGTTCACTAGAACTAAGGTACTTTTTAATTTCAAATTGTTTTTCCAATTCGAATATTTGCCGTCCGGTGAAAGTGGTTCTTGCCTTCTTTTTGCGGCGGGCATCTGTTGATCCCGAATCGGAATCGTCTTCTGTTGTTTCCATACTAACAGCTGGTGGTGTGGTACTTATTGCTGGCGGGGCCAAACGTTCACGCATTATACTATCACTGCTACCCGATGGACTGACATCAGGAGGTAGGGTAACACTGCTGGCTGCCACAATATGGGCAGAGGACAATTTCTTCTTTTTCATGCTATTTTTCACTGCCGTATGATGGGGATCTGTAATGAAATTAAAAAAAAAGAAAAACAAAAATGAAAACCAATGGTCAATATATTCACTTTACATAATGCAATATTCCCTCATTCTTTCTCTCTCTCCCGCCTTCAATTGCTGTCCCTTTTGGCCACTGCACTTTGCTGTGTTAATTAATTTAATGTGTTTATTTTAATTACACACAAACAACAGATAATTCAATTTTTATTCCGTTTCATCATAATTTATTCAACGCAACTTTGGTCATTTGTAAAATATTCTGTGGTATTTTTATTTGCAATTTGACTTTGTTCGTGGCCAGTGTATAGCAGCCAGCCAGCCTGTACGCCTGCCATCGGGCCTATCCACATAGCTTTTCATTAATTAATTGCACATGTTTAATTCACAATATATTTATTTTTATGTTTTTGTTTTTATTGTTTTATTGTATTATTTTGTTGTTGCTGTTGTTGCATTGCATGCCATGACCATTATTTAATGTTTGGCTTTTTTTCGAGATTTCCAAACACTTTATAATGGTAAATTATTTAATGGCTTCTCTGTGATGATGATTTTATTTTAATGAGGGAGGAGGGTGTGTTTGCATTTTTTTGTAATTTTAAATGCATTTCATTAATAATTATTTTATAACCAGTTGCAGCTGGATATTGTATACATTTTTAAAGTGCAACACATTAGCATTTGAGAAGAATTAATTTATTTATATTTTCCTATGGGTATCAGGGAGCGTATGAATGTTGTCATAACGTATACGCAGACTTATAATTTAATATTTACTTTCCGTTGGAATCTGGGCGTATGAACGTTGTCATAACGTATTCGCAGATTTTAAGTGGGTAGATATTAATCTTTGTAAAAACTTTAAGAGACGTGGATTTTTTAAAAAAGAGTGCATTTTTTAGAAAATTTTTTAAGACACCCTAAGAGATGTGGAGATGTGTGTGTGAATATTTTTCCTAGAGGCGTGGATTTTTTAAAGAATATTTTTTGATGCATTCGTAGAGGCATGGATTTTTTAACGAATATTTTTTGAGACATTCGCAGAGGCGTGGATTTTAAAAGTAGAATTTTTGAGGCATACTTAAAGGCGTGGATTTTAAAGATTATATTTTTGAGGCATACTTAAAGGCGTGGATTTTAAAAGTAGAATTTTTCAAGGGCCAACTATTTTTGAGGAAGGCGTGGATTTATAAAAGAGAATGTTTGAGGCAACTTCAAGGCGTGGATTTTAAAAGTAAATGTTTGAGGCATACTTCAAGGCGTGGATTTTAAAAGTAGAATTTTTGAGGCATACTTAAAGGCGTGGATTTTAAAAGTAGAATTTTTGAGGCATACTTAAAGGCGTGGATTTTAAAAGTAGAATTTTTGAGGCATACTTCAAGGCGTGGATTTTAAAAGTAGAATTTTTGAGGCATACTTCAAGGCGTGGATTTTAAAAGTAGAATTTTTGAGGCATACTTCAAGGCGTGGATTTTAAAAGTAGAATAGTGGTGTGGATTTTGTTTCTTGGAGGCGTGAATTTTTTAAAATTATTTTTCGAGGACCTAAACAAGGCGTGGATGGCCAATATGAGGCGCGGATTTATTAAATATTCTTCGAGGGCCAATATGAGGAGTGGATTTTTTAAAATATTTTTCAAAGGTCAATATGAGGCGAACGCTTTTTTAATATCTTTTCAAGGTGCCACTAGAGGCGTGGATTTTTCAAAAATATTTTTTTCAGGGTGCCACTAGGGCGTGGATTTTTCAAAAATATTTTTTCCAGTGTGCCACTAGAGGCGTGGATTTTTTAATTTTCTTTTAATGAGACACTAGAGGCGTGGATTAATTTAAAAAAAAAAATCTTCAAGGACCTAAACAGGAGTGGTTTTATTAAAGAATAATTTATTTTAAAAAATCACTGTTAGAATTCTTCGTCTATATCTTTTTAATGAAGAAAAAATATATACTTCTCTTAACATATTCAAAACTTATGCAAAGAAAATTGTTTAGAAGGAATAGGGAGCGAGCGTAGTTCAGCAGTAAGCAAACAAATAACATCAACAAAGTATTGTTTTTTTTTTGTCCACAGCTACCCTCCTTCTATTGGAGTAGCATTAAAAATTCCCATTGCTCCCTCCACATCTTCAACAATGTTTATGTCCAGCAAATACCACAAAGAAGCATGGTTCTTTTTTATAATGGTGATTCATGATGACTGGTGTGTGCTATGCAAAACACGGTTCAGTATAGGAAAGAAGAAAAAAACGAATCAGAAACTAACAACCAATTCCTTTAAGGACCAACTTCTCGATTATTTGCATTTAAGGCGAGCACACACACACACACGCTTAAAGATGCCTTGATATTTACCAGTGAAAAAAAGTAAACGAAACGAGTGCTGAGCACTCACATCTACCACCATCACGAGTTTTCTAAATACCCGGCAAATGTTTGTGATGTAAATATTTTGTCAAAATCGGAAGGAAGGAAATGTGGTAGTACCAGTAACAGCAGTTACTGTGTTAGGTTCGTCCTACAGCCAGCCATACAGGCAGGCAATATCACGAGATTGCAGGAACTGCTGTTACTCCTTGAACTGGTGGGTCTTGCTCCCCTGTTTTTTTTTCAAATTGGAGTCTTGCGAAGTTCAAGAAGTAAGGGTGCAAGAGAGATGGAGAGGGGAAAATAGAAAACAATTTTTTCACTTGAATTACAATTAAGATTGCTTTCCATGCCATTTCTTTTTTCTTTTTTTCTGTTCCTCTCATGGCATCCACAACACAATCTGTAGGTCCTTTAAACTGCAGATTGTTTTTTGTTTTCGTCCTGCTTTGTTGCTAAGAACTTCTATGGCATGGTTGGTAGTTGATGGATCGTGATTAATAGTGGCATGATTAATGGTAAAAGCCAATGTGGTTACCATTATAAATGAATTTTTGCAACAGTTATGTTATTTTAATGGACACGAATGGGCGTTTACTGGTCATGGGGAAAAAAGGGAGAGCGAGAGGATAAAGAATGCAGGGACATGGCATGCCACACAAAGCAATCTTTGAGAAGTTCTTTTTTCCCTTTGATGGAAGTTTAGTAATGTGTTTTCTTTTTTCTTGTATATTTTTTCAGGCATTGCTGGACCTCGAGGCAGACCAGGGAAACCTGGCACCAATGGCACACCAGGTATCCCCGGTGTAAGTGCCTACAAAGTACAGCTAAAGAACGGCACATACTTGAATGATTTACTGATACCACCATCAATTGCAGGTAAGTGAAAAGAAAATGGGGAAAAACATTGAAGTTTCTTCGAAACTGAAAATTGATTTGTATTCATAAGGGACATGAAGTGGGAATATAAGGCTTCAAATGATTTTGAATTTATTATGTGAATATTCTTCAAGGACCTAAACAGGATGTGGACTTTTTAAAGAAAAAAATGTTCAGGCATAATATGAAGCGTGTATTTTCTAGAGAATATTTTTCAGGCCTGCATAAGGCGTGGATTTTTTTTAAATTAAATTTTCAAGGCCCTCAAAGTGAGTGGATTTTTAAAGTAGAATTTTTGAAGCATAATTCAAGGCGTGGATTTTGAAAGAAACATTTTTGAGGCATACTCCTAGTCGTGGATTTTGAAAGAAACATTTCTAGGCGTGGATTTTTTAAAGAAGAATTTTTGAGGCATACTTCAAGGCGTGGATTTTTTAAGTAACATTTTTGAGCACACTTCAAAGAGCAGTTTTTAAAGTAGCAGTTTTGAGGCCTACTTCAAGGCGTGGATTTTTAAAGAAGAATTTTTGAGGAATACTTCAAGGCGTGGGTTTTAAAAGTACAATTTTTGAGGCATACCTCAAGGCGTGGGTTTTAAAAGTAGAATTTTTGTGGCATAATTCAAGGAGTGGATTTTAAAAGTAGAATTTTTAATGCATACTTCAAGGCGTGGGTTTTAAAAGTAGAATTTTGAGGCATGCGTGGGTTTTAAAAGTAGAAGTTTTGAAGCATACTTCAAGTCGTGGATTTTAAAAGTAGAAGTTTTGAGGCATACTTCAAGGTGTGGATTTTAAAAGTAGAAGTTTTGAGGCATAGTTCAAGGTGTGGATTTTGTAAAGTAGAATTTTTGAGGAATACTTCAACGCGTGGATTTTAAAAGTAGAAGTTTTGAGGCATACTTCAAGGTGTGGATTTTGTAAACTAGAAGTTTTGAGGCATACTTCAAGTCGTGGATTTTAAAAGTAGAAGTTTTGAGGCATACTTTAAGGAGTGGATTTTAAAAGTAGAAGTTTTGAGGCATACTTCAAGGTGTGGATTTTAAAAGTAGAAGTTTTGAGGCGTACTTCAAGGTGTGGATTTTGTAAAGTAGAATTTTTGAGGCATACTTCAGGGCGTGGATTTTAAAAGTAGCATTTCTTAGGCATACTTCAAGGCATGCATTTTAAAAGTAGCAGTTCTTAGGCATACTTCAAGGCTTAGGCATAATTCAAAGCATAATTTTTTTAAGTACCGTTTTTGAGGCATTCTTCACGGCGTAGATTTTTTAAATACAATTTTTGAGGCATACTTCAAGGCGTGTGTCTTTTCAGGTACTATTTTTGTGGCATATTTCAAGGCGTGTATTTTTAAAGTACCATTTTGAGGCATACTGAAAGGCGGGAAATCTTAAAGTAGAATTTTTCAGACATACTTCGAGGCATGGATCTTTTAAATTAGAATAAATGAAGCATAGTACAAGGTGCACATTTTAAAGTAGAATTTTGAGACATTCTTCAAGTCATGGATTTTTAAAATAACATTTTTGAGGCATACTTCAAGACGTCGTCATGTTATGTAACAGTTTTGAGGCAAACATCAAGACGTGAATTTTTAAGTAAAATGTTGCATGGATATTTCAGCTTGGATTTTTAAGTAAAATTTTTAACACCTTTTGTTTTAATGTTCCTCAAAATAATAGAGTTCATAAACTACTTGATGACCACAATCTCTCCCGAAAAGTCCCGCCATTAAATTTCAATTGTTGTCATATTCAGCAAATAATGAAATTCAAGTTGTTGTCATTTAAGTTTCGTTGCATTCCCAACAACATTCATATACAAGGATATTTTTTCAGATTTTTTTTATTTTTGTTGTTGTTGTCGTAGTATATCCTTTTACCATTGTTGTCTCTTTGTTTATTTGCCAATTGGTTGGTTTTCTCTGTTCTACATTTTTTTCGCAGATATAAATATGCCCCGTTCCATTGCCGTCGAAGAAGGAAAAACATTAAACGTAAGCTGTGCCGCCAGCGGTAATCCAATGCCTCATGTTGAATGGCGACGAGATGACGGTCGAACGATTAATGTCCATGGCGTTGAGAGTAAGGATTTTTTGTATGCTTCTTCTTTTTCTTTGCCTGCAACAAAAAATGTATGCAAAAGGATTTATAATGGTTTGGTTATTGTTTCCTTTTCCCCTTTCCTTTTTCTTGTTTGTGTTTTTTTTTCTGACTCCTGTGCGTGTCCTTCCTGTTCGGCTTCATATGTTTGACGGTGGGCTGTTTTATCGCTGGACGCTTTTTCACATTGCAGTGTCATCTATAAGTGGACCATATCTGAAATTCACCAATATTACCCGCCATCAAATGGCTTCGTATACATGCTATGCCGACAATGGTTTAGCACCAGTGGCCAATGCAACATTTTTAATCGAAGTCCAATGTAAGTAGCACAGATGATGGTGATGATGAGAGATGGTATTCTAAGGGGATGTGTTTGGAGGTTAATGGTTTTAATTGTTGAATGACACTGCCCCTGTCTGTTGGGTTTTTCTTTTCAGTTCCGCCCATGATATCGGTATATAGGCAAATGATTTATGCCGAATATGGACGTTCGGCCACATTGGAATGCATTGTGGAAGCATTCCCCGAGGCTATACTCTATTGGGAAAGGGCCTACGATGGCAGTATATTGGATCGAGGTGACAAATATCGAATTGAAACTAATCCAGATGGGTAAATGAATGACAGATAGACATTTGAATGATGACAGTCAACACACTAACACATACACATATTTCTTTTTCTTTGGTCCCCCATTTCTTTACAGCTATCGCACGACAATGCGTCTGACGATTACCTCCTTGCGTAAGGATGATTTCGGTTACTATCATTGTGTGGCCAGGAATGCACTCAATACCACAATGGTTAATTTTGAAATTGCACGTAAGTCTCAAGAGGGGGTATGGGGTTATTGGGAAGGAGGGTTTTCAAATAATGATTATTGATTGAATGAAAATGATTGAATCGAAATGACAAACGGATACAAGTAAAATGAGGCAAAAAACAAAAATCCAGCCATCCAGCTAGTATAAATGAAATGGACATCAGCAAATGAATATGGATGGGTTGTGTGACAAACTGGCAGATAGACAAGACAGATTGAAAGACAACTGGACACAAAGGAAATTATAGATAAGAGCTGTTAATATTTATGATATTGATTGAGGACGACTGTCTGTATTGAAGATTGACATGGGGATTTGAAGTTTGTCTTTTGTGGACATGGTTGATGGTTGAAATGAGAAATTTGTGTTCTTTTTTTTATTTTCATTGCAGCTCAAGATCCAAACAGTGAAACACCCTATGTTGGCAAGGAAATGAAAACATATGGCCAACGTCCACCCGAACAAGAGTGTCCCGTTTGTCCCGAGTGTCCTGAACAGAGGTAAGTTTGTACAATAAAGTAAAGGATAAAATATATTTTTGTTTCTAAAATCTCATGATCTTCAATAGGCTTCGTTTTTTAAACAATTTTTTATATCCTTCACCAAAGTGTTACTGGGTATTATGTCTTTGTGCATATGTTTGTAAAAGGCAAAAGTAAACGAGATAGACACATGGTTCCTTTTGAGAATATGCATAGAATCACTTTTTAAGTCGATTTATGCATGTCCGTCCGTCTGTTCGTCCGTCCTTCCATGTATTTTTGTTAACAAAGTACTGGTCGCATTTGTGATCCGATTTCGATGAAATTTGGCACAGTTCACTTATTTGGCTCAAGGACGAACCTTATTTAGATATAGCTCCCATATATATTTTCGTCCGATTTTAGGTAAACAGTGCACCAAAGTCCTTATATATCCTTCGATTTGCACGAAATTTAGAACGATGCGTGTTAAATTTCGTGAAAATCGGTTCAGATTTAGATATAGTTCCCATATATATTTTCGTCCGATTTAAGGTAAGTGTTGCACCAAAGTCCCTATTATTTTTCGACTTATACGAAATTTGGCATAGCGGACTAAATTGAGTCTAGAATGATGTGTGCAAAGTTTCATGGAAATCGGTTGAGATTTAGATATTGCTCCCATATATATTTTCGTCCGATTTTATGTAAATGGTGCACCTATGTCCCTATATATCATTCGATTTATACGAACTTTGGCATAGTGTACTGCATTGAGTCTAGAATGATGTGTGCAAAGTTTCGTGGAAATCTGTTCAGATTTACATAAAGCTCCCATATATATTTTCGTCCGATTTTAGGTAAATGGTGCACCAATGTACCTATATATCATTCGATTTGTACGAACTTTGGCATAGTGTACTGCATTGAGTCTAGAATGATGTGTGCACAGTTTTGTGAAAATCGGTTCGGATTTAGATATAGCTCCCATATATATTTTCGTCCGATTTTAGGTAAATAGTGCACCAAAGTCCCTATATATCCTTTGAATTCCACGAAATTTGGCATAGCATTCTGAATCAAGCCTAGAAAAATGTGTTTTAATTTTCGTGAAAATCGGTTCAGATTTAGATATAGCTTCCATATATATATTCGTCCGATTTAAGGTAAATGGTGCACAAAAGTCACTATATAACATTCGATTTGCACGAAATTTGGCATAACCTACTGAATTGAGTCTAGAATGATGTGTGCAAAGTTTCGTGGAAATCGGTGCATATATAGATATAGTCTCGTATATATATTTTCGTCCGATTTTATGTAAATGGTGCACCAAAGTCCCTACATATCTTTCGATTTGCACGAAATTTGGCACAGCGTATTGAATTAGATCTAAAATGATGTGTGCAAAGCTTCGTGAAAATCGGTTCAGATTTAGATATAGCTCCCATATATATGTTCATCCGATTTTATGTAAATAGTGCACCGAAGTCCATATATATCTTTCGATTTGCACGAAATTCGGCATAGCATAGAATGATGTGCCCGATATGCTTCGTGAAAATCGTTCCAGATTTAGATATAGCTCCCATATTTATTTCGTCCGTGAAAATCGATTCAATGAAATGAAATGTAGCATAGGTTCCAGAAAGGCATAAAGATCTTATATTCAAGTTCGTTCAATTTAATGCCAATGTTCTTTCGAAAAGGCGGAGCCTGTTAGGAGACATATGTAGAATATACCCAAAGTGGTGAAGGGTATTATATAGTCGGTTCAGTTCTTACTGGTTTAAAATCATAAATCTTCAATTCAAAAAACATCATAATTAAATTTAATCCAAAACAATTCCACTTTTTGGATGAATTATTTAGATAATAATATTTCTGACTCATAATTAATCTGCTTTACGAAAATATTAGTTTGAAAATTATTGAAAGTTTTCAATTTCACACCAATCTTAATTCGTGGAATTTCACGCTTAATACCTCCCTCTCTATACCATCTCTTCCCAACATCAGAAAACTATTAAGAAAAACACATTAATTCAATTAATACTTTTGACAGCGTCAGTTTGTGTTTTTGGCTCAAGAAGTCTGTCGAATTGTTATTGCCGTCAAGCGAGACGAAAGCAACAACAAAAAGAAATGTCGTCTTTGTGGCATATTCGGTTTTCGTTTGTATTATTTTTTTTTTCTGGCTAAAACTTTACCAATCAATTGCCAAATAAAAGAAAATAAATGATCGAAATTATACAAAGAATGAAAGAAATTATGGTAAAATATATACTTAGGA